TTTCGTTAGGGATTTGAGGGAGCTAGGACAGGTTTATTAGTTTAGAGGATTTTTACATAACTAAAGGTGCTTGATATTGTGACAGTTGGGAGTTTTAGTTTAATTCTTAAGATTTTCAAAATCCTGTCATTTTCTTAAGTTTTTCATTTTGTTTCTTTGTTGTGTTTTGGGGTTTTTTTCTCTCATTTTATTTGGTTTGATTACAATTTTATTTGAATTTGTGTTTCTTTTGGTTTTTTGTTTATCATTTGGTTAAAATTTAATTTTTGGAACCGTCTTTGCGGGACGTTGACGGAGCATCGCCTAAGTTTATCATGTCTCGTGGTTTCCACACCGGGGACCCTATAATAAAAATGAAAGAAAAGAAATATGTGGAAATCATATGAAAAATGTTTTTGAAAGAATTTCGTTAATTGAAAAAATTTAACTACAAAACAAATTAATAACTTTGAAAATTTATTTTTTTTGTTCAACAACAAATAAATTAATAAATAAATTTATGTTTGTATGTATGTGTTAGTATAATGTAATGGTGTAGGTAATGTTGTTTTAAGTAATTAAGAGAAAAAATTAAAACTAAATTAGAATTTTTTTTCCAGCCAATTGTTTAGAAATATTCAACACTTAATTTAGTATTAAATTAATTATAAATATTTTTTTTTACGAAATTGTTTAAAGAGATGTTATGAAAAATGCTTTAAAATAATAGTTATGTTTTAAATAAATAAATATGTAAATCTAAATATTTAAAATTTCTTTAAACATGCGTATTTTGTTTTTTTTACTAAATATTTAGTACATTTGTATGAAATTATAAATTACAAAAAACATAAATTAATTTCGATTATGAATAAAATGTTGACATCGCTTGTTTCTTTTGTTTTTTTCTTCTTTAATTATAAAAAATTCCTGTATTTTTGTTTTCTTTTTTTTTAATATAATTAATTAAATATTGAAACCGTTTGTTTTTTATATTTTTCTTAACTATTTACGTTTAAATATCAAGTGGTGTTGTTATGTTAACACATTTTTAATTGTAACATCGTTAATTTTACAACGTTATGCCAACATTTTCATAATTCTGTTAAAAGTGAAGTGTTTTAATTAAAAAAAAAACTAAAATAATATGTAAATAATATAAAAAATAGTTTTGGTGACTGAAATGTTAAATGAGAAATGGCATAAATTATTTTTACTTTTAAATAAAATAGGGTTTTACTTAATGATCAAGAAGTGTATGAGATTCTTAACTATTAAAAAGGTTTCGCCTTTCAGAATATGTTTAAAATTAGTTAAAAGTATGATCTAATCACTAGACTGTTCTATAAAAACTTCAGATCTTGCACATTCTGTTAAAGTATAAATCTTGCTTGTATTATAAGCCGAATTTATAATACATATTCCCAAACGATCAGTACATCCAAAAAGACGCTTTTGAGCTTTGAAATCTGTATACCGAATAGGAACCATTAAACGAAACAGACTTAATATGAGAAGATGGATCTGAACAGGCGAATCTTGTTCAGATCCATAAATCTTTTCAATTTATAAATATGATCTTCATCACTCGTGAGAAAATTTTCGTCATCTTAATTAGCGCTAGAGAGTGCTAGAAGAGAAGGTTAAGAGATAATTGTAATAATAGACAAGACAGACATCAATCTGGTCGAGGTCATCGGCAAACTCTATAAATAAATATGTATCATTCTTCGTTAAATCGGTATCTTATTTGACATTTCTTAGAGTTATATTAAGGAATGTTCTGATCGCTGTGTTGGGTCAAAGCTGGTTCTCGACTGTTGACCTATATCTGGAATAAAACAGATAAAGACGGGAAAAACACCATGCTATCAAAGGGAAATATTGAAACGATAATATCACTACTTAAGAGCGGAACTTATTATACCAACATTGCTAGAAGAGAAGGTTAAGAGATAATTGCGATAATTATCGAGTCAAGATTATCGTCAAACACTGTGAATAAATATCAATCTTCGTTGAACCGAAATCTAATCTGGCATTTCTTAGCGATATATTAAGGAATGTTCTGATCGCTGATTTGGGTCAATCACTGTTCTCGATTTTTAACCTATATCTGGCCTCAGACAGCTGAAGAAGGGAAAAGGCCGCCCTACCAAAGCGAAAAGTTCAAATTATAATATCACTTATGAAGAGTGGAACATAATACCAAGCTCAATATTGCTAGAAGAAAAGGTTAAGAGATAATTGTGATAATGGACAAGACAGACACTTCGATCGAGTCAAGGTTATGTCAAACACTAGGAATAAATATCAATCTTCCTTGAACCGAAACCTTATTGACATTTCTTAGGTTATATTAGGTAATATTCTGATCGCTGTGTTGGGTTAAAGTTTGTCCTCGACTGTTGACCTATATGTGGGCTCATGTGTTAAGAGTGGAACTTAATACCAAGCTCAACATTGCTAGAAGAGAAAGTTAAGAGATAATTGTGATAATGAACAAGACAGACTTCGATCGAGTCAAGGTTATCGTCAAACACTTCAATCTTTGTTGAACGGGAACCTTATTTGACATTTCTTAGAGATACATTAAGGAATGTTCTGATCGCTGAGTTGAGTCAAAGCTTGTTCTCAAATGTTGACTTATATATCAGACAGATGAAGAGTTTTGTCACCCTATGAATGAAATGATAATAAAACTTGTTAAGTTGGAAGCGAAGATTAAGAGACACTTGTCAGTCAAAGATCGATTGAGGACATTTTGAACTAGAAATATCATTCGAGTCTCGGGAAAAGTAGTGATCACCACAGGAGCGGACAAAGGCATATGCGGCAGTCTAAGCCGCTAGTTAGAGGTTTCCTGAAATCTCTAGATACGAGTGCTGCTTATCCATGATCCTGCTAAATGAAAGTCGAAACTATAGCGAGCACATTTGAGAATAGAACTTGGTTCCGAATTGCGATTGTCGAAAGTATTGTGTGGTGAATGATGCTGGCAAATTGTGAGTCTCGATTGTTCTGGAGGCAAGTACTCGTTGCGAGCATATTTGAGAATAAAACGAGGCAAGTCGAGATTGGTTCCGAACTGTGGTAACAGAAAGTGTTATGTTGTGAATGATGCAGACAAATTTTCATTTTCGATCATTCTGGAGACAAGTACTCGCTGCTGTTGTCAACAAGTACTCATGTAAAAGAGTTAGTTATTTCAAACAACTGCGATCAGATGTTTTGCTCTTTGAAAGACTTAAAGGTCTTCTGCGCATTTTTCTAAAAGATGTGCTAGTTAGAAGCTTCCTTAAATCTCTAGCTACAGGTGCTGCTTATCAGTGATGCTAAGTAAAAATCAAACCAAAAGTGAGCATATTAGAGAATAGAACGTGGCGAAATTGGTTCCGAATTGCGATAGCAGAAAGTGTTATGTGGTGAATGATGCTGACAAATTGTGAGTCTCGATCGTTCTGGAGACAAGTACTCGTTGCTATTGTCAACAAGTATTCAATACTGTATTCGAGTAAAATAGTAAATTTTTTCAAACAACTGCGATTATATGTTCTTTTCGAAAGACTTAAAGATCTTCTGAGCATTTTTCTAAAAGATCTAAGGATCTTTAGAGATATTCTAAGTTTTATAAAAGTTAAAAACTACAGTAATATAAAGTTTAATTACAATGTGAAGTTGAAATGAAGTTAATTAAAACTTTAATTGATTAAATTAAAAAAAAATAAATAATATTTGTACGAGTTTGAGTAAGTGAGAGTTTGCGTGAGTGTAATGTCTGCAAGATTAAATGAACGCCAATAGTTCTCCAATAATAAATTAAGAATAATTTTTGTTTCTCAATAACAATAATGATAATGTTTTTTATGTAATATGTTTGTTAGCATAGTTAGGCAATTAGTTAGATGTTTACTTTTAGTAATTTATGTAATAATAAATAGATAATATAGCAATAGATCGGATACGAAACTTATTTAGATATAAACAAACAATTTTGAATTGATACAATTTAGTTTTTAAGGGTTTTGAGGGATCAAATAACAACAACGATTATAATTGGATTAAGCAAAGGTGGGATAAGGTGGTGAATTGAACGTGTTTAAATAAATAAATAAATTGAGAGATAGAGAGAGAGAGAGAGTTAAAAAAATAAACATAATTATCAGGCGGTGTTAATTAATTCAATAATTTGTTGTTTCTCATTGCAAATTATTATTAAAATTTTGATTTTTTTTCTTTGTTAATTTAGTTTTAAATATTTTTTTTTTGCTTACAGGGTGTGTTAACCATAAGACATAATAATTTTATTTTTAAAGGTAATTTGTTTATATATATATTTTTTAAAATTGGTTTTTTGCATCTTGCAAGTGGTGTTATTTAGTAGTAGTAGCAGTAGTAGTTTTCATTAGTAGTAAGTAGTACTAGGTAGTTTTAAGAATATTAACTATTTTTACTTTTATTTGAGTTAATGGTTGTAAATATTTATTAAAACACAAAACAAAAACCACATACACACACTAGTATTTAAAACAAATAAAATCAAACCAAATTATTTTTTTTGTTGTGTAAACAAAGAAACAAACATTTAAATGAATAACAACAACAATAATAACAATAATAATAGTTAATTATTATTAAATAAATCAATAAATAAATGCTCATTTCAATTGTAAAGAAAAATAATTGTGCATTTGTTTTGTTTCATTTCATTTTGTTTTTAATTAAAATTTTCTTCACTTTTTTCCATAATTTTCTCGGGAGAAAAAAAAAAAAACAAATCTTTGCTCAAGCGATGCCAACCAACTACATTTTAATAATATAAATTTAAATAATTTTTTTTTTTCGTTTGTTTTGTAGGGTAAATTTTTCAAAGTTAAGAAAGTTTTGTAAATAATTTTTATCTTAAAAATCAAATAAAAATTGTTATATTTCTATTTAAATAAACACACACAAATATAGTAAACATAACTATATTTGTTTATAAATAACTTTGTCTGTATGTATAGTAAATATACATACATAATAATTATAATTATTTTTTAACAATAAATGTAATTAATAATAATAAATAAACAACATTGCTTTTTTCCCATTATTGATACGTGTGTTATGAATTCCTTTTACTAAGAATTATGAAATAGTTTCAATTCTCACAGTTGTTTTTAAGGATATTTTTGTTAATATCCTTTATTCATTTAATTAAATTTAAACTATTAACAAATAATCACAAACAAATATCACAAACTTAGTGGTTTTTTTAAACTTTTTCTCTTCTTTTTTTTAAATACGAACAACATTTAAATTGTCTTCATCTTCATCTTGAAATCGTAAATGTATTATTATTGTATTAATGTAAACTTTTCATTATATTTATGTAAATATGCTAGTATATGTTTGTTTGTATGTATAAATTAATGTATATTGATGTATACTTAATAAACATTCATTCATTAAATGCAATGGTATTAAAAGTAAACAACATAATTTAAAAACAAATTATAAAATTTAATTATATAAATTATTAAGAAAAAAAGGGAAATTAAGTAGTAGTAAATTGTTTATTCCTTTAATGTTGTTTAAATAAATTTTTTTCCTCTATAAACACCCAAACGTCAAGATAATTATATGCAGTTGCCACAATTAAACTATTAATTTGTATAGAAAATTTGTTTCTATTCGCATAGCGAATACGGTGACTGTCACGGAAAATTCATTTTGCGAATCTTGAATTGTGCGAACCGTGAACACTATCGAGGTGTATCAGTTCGTTCATGTTTGTCAGAATTGGCCCATGAAATCACTAGTAGGTTTTTTCGTGACTTCTTTCATTTAACGCAAGTAATTTCTGTACTTTAAAATTACACGAAATGCCAGTTTCCATTATGTAAGTACTTTTTAAAAGAAAAAGTAATCACTCCTAATCTGCATTTCAATTCGAATCGAAGCTTCGTCACTAAAATAACGACTTACAGAAGAAACGTAGTTACGTTCGTAATGCAGAATGCACACAATCGTAAAGCATTGAAATAAAATGGAATTGCTTCTTCTTTTTATTGCGATTCCGTTTTTTGTTGGAATACCAATTTCCGATCGCAGCGTAACTGAATGCGGAAACATAATCGAAATGCAGAATAGGGGTGAATGTAATTTTTAAGTCTGAAGATGTCGGTAATGTCTACTGTACCTTGGTTGAATATCGTCAATGTGGTATATCGAACACGAACAACCCGAATCTCACTGAAAGTTAGTGATCGCGGTGAGCACGAACTAAAAAGTTTTCAACACGATTCGTCGATTTTGTAAGATCGCTACTATAGCTAATGTTTTATATGGAATAGTCTTGACATTAGACTTATTGAATCTCTTGCTGCAAGAACTATGTTTGCCCTAAGTTACGATCAAAATAACAGCAATTGTCGATATTTATAAGAATGAATCTAAAACATCATTTTGTATCCGCAGACAAGTATTGTATGCTATTTCGAGGCGATAAATGGGTCGACAAGTATTTAAGCTGAACTGGAGTGATCAGTTTTAAAATAAATGTTATCGAGTCTTCTTCGAAGAACTTGTAGATCTTCTGACCATGTCCAATGAAGTACTGGCAGAATGGAGAAATAGTCAAGAGGTGACCAGATATCGATATGTGAGTATATTAATGGTGTTTAATCAATATAAATATCTGTGTGGAAGATCTAAGTGCCCTTCTTAAGGTCAAGAGTTGACCAGATATCGATATATAAGTGTATAAGTGGTGTTTCATCAAATTAAATATCTGTGGGGAATATCTAAGTGCCCCTCTTAAGGTTTGTTATAAATTTCATTTGGATTTTCAAGTCTCACTAAAAAGTAGTGATTGAGGTGAGTACGATAAGGTACATTCTAAAAAGTTTTCAATACGTTTAGCAGATTTTGTACGATCGCTACAATAACTAATGTTATATTTGAAATAGTATTGTCATTAGACTCTATTGAATCTATTGCTACAAGAACTACGTTTCCGTGAGCTTCATAAATTACGATCGAAATAGAAGAAAGGTTATTGTGGATGAATCTAAAATATCATTTTGTATAAGTGGACAAGTATTCTAAGCTATTTCGGGGCGATAAAGGGGTCGACAAGTATTCAAGCTGAACTCGAGTGATCAGTTTTAAAATAACTGCGATCGAGTCTTCTTAGAAAAACTTGTAGATTTTCTGAGCATTTCCAATGAATTACTGGCAGAATGAATCTCTTGTAGAATACTGCGACACTACTAGCTGTATGACATATTCATAAGTATCTTTTGAGAGTTGGTGTACGGCGCCAACGAACAAAACTACAGCTAGGAGATTTAATTACAGAATGTGGCAAGTCGTGTTTGTCTCTCTGAATTGTGATTGCCGAAACTATGGCATGGCGAATGCTCATGACACATTTTGCATATCGATCGGCTATTGCGAGATGATAAATGGGTCAACAGCGATTCAAGACTGCAATCCTGTGATCGAGTCTCTTAATCTTTAAAAGACTTGTAGGTTTTTGATCATTTCCCCAGAAGTAATAGCTGAACGCCATCTGAAAATCTTTTGGGTTTTAATTTACTCCGCCGATCAATCGGTTAGAGGAATCATGAGTTGAACGTTTACCAGTAGCTTTAGTGTTTTGTGTATTCCAATTAGTCGATGGGCAATCGATCCTGTGATCGAGTCTCTTAATCTTTAAAAGACTTGAAGGTCTTTTGAGCATTTCCCCAAAAGTAATAGCTGAACGCCATCTGAAAATCTTTTGGGTTTTGATTTACTACGTTGATCAATCGGTTAGAGGAATCATGAGTTGAACGTTTACCAATAGCTTTAGTGTTTTGTATATTCCCATTAGTCGATGGGCAATCATAGGAAGAATTCAGATTTGAACTAAAAACCGTTTGGTTTGTTTATTCCAGTCTTTCTTAATTGTGATCAGGTAAATGGGATTCAAAACTTCTGCGAATATCTGACATTGAAGGGATTACTTTACAACTCGATACGGTTTTCTAATAACTGTGATCGAGTCTTTTAATCTTTGAAAGACTTGTAAGTCTTCGAATTTGTTTGTTGTTAAGCAATAGAACGCTGATTTATAAATCTGTTACTTTGGTTCCAACTAGTTTCGAATAAATAGCCTAGAAGGTTTTTGTTTAACAGTGCACGCATTTCGGCAGACATGGAACGTATGGGACCCAAAAATTCGCATGTTTTAATGGTGTTAATTTGCTCGGGAGAAATATGTTAGCGATATGAATTGTTTTTGATATTATTAGGAGAATAAAGCATGTTTTTAGGCATTTCCAATACATTTCGAAGATTCAGTACATGTGTCACTATCACGTCTAACGAACATAACATATTTCAGATGCGATTGTCATTGGATTGGATAGTGTTGATAGAAGCCATCCGTCCTCTCCTGTGACATATGTTCTCATATCTTTTAAATACATAATAATAATAGGGCGATACAGGGATCTTCAGAGACTTACTGTCCAAAGTCAATGATATGGATCATAACGAATAGAGCTTTTCGATCTCTAATGCTTAAACTTATGCGAGGTGATTTTATTTCAATAATATGTTCCTGAAGTTTTGCAAGGTATTAGGTCAAACAATCTCAAATTAACATTAAACCAATCAAATAAATATGTATGTATGTGTCGGTAGGTGTATATTCATAATGTCAGTATGTATTTGAATTTCAATTAATTGCTATTTAATGTATAAATAAATAAGTACACATTCATACATGTATTTATTTATTTATTAATATTTTTAAATTTGACGTATACTTTATAGTTATGTAGTGTGTATGTTAATTAGTTTGTGTGACTGTAGTTAATATTTTTGATTATTTATTTCTATTTATTTATGTTGCTGGTATATTTATTTATTTCTTTTTCATTATTATTATTATGTATTTTTGGTTTATATTGCAAAATTTGAAAGTTGCTCTTGTTACTTGTCATCAATTTTGAATATTCGATTTACAAGTAATTTTGATTTTATTGCTGCTAAGCCATTTTTTATTTAAGTTTATTTTTCAGTTTAATTATTTTATTTTAAGAGAATTCGCTTTAAAGCAAATTTGTATGTATTTATGTTAGATTAGGTGTTTTAGTAAGTGTAAATGTATTTTTAGATAATTATAGGATAGCGAGAGAGAGAGAAAGGACATGAATTTGTCTATGTATGTAAATATACCCATATATATGTAAATACATTTATATGTATACATATATGTTTAAGTATATTTAGTATACAATTTCCTTACATATTTAAATTTTAATATTTGTTTGATTTTATATATGTTATGCTTTATGTTTGATGTTTGTCTATGTACTATTTAGTTATTTGATTTATTTTGTTTTTTTTTAATTTTTAAACATTTTAAATTCTACCAGTTATATTTTATTTTAATTTATGTTAACATTCAAATTGTTTGATTTAGTTTTATCTATTTCTTTTTTTTGCTTGTTTTCTATAATGAATACTTTTTGATTTGAGGTACATCAAAATGTTCAACACTGAGTCAATAAAGGTTTACTTTTTTGCTTTGATTACAATTAAATTACTTCTATTACGTTTATTTTATTTAAAGTGGATTTAACATTTTATGTTTATGGAGTTTATATTTGTTTTGATTATTTTGTATTATTTGCCTATTAAATGTTTTGATTTTTGTTTTAAAAATAACCGTATATTCGTCCGTCAATTAAAAATAAAAATTCCTGATTTATTTGAAATCTTCAATTCTTGTTATTAATTTTATTTTGATGTTTCCTTTTTGAGTTAAGTCGTTTGTTTTAAATGAGAAAATTTAATTTTAAGATGATGATTTTCAAACAGATTTGTAGTATTTCTCTAGAAATTGCATTACAATACCGACCTATTGGTACTAGTGTTTAGACTAGTGCTTAATAGTTCAATTCGCTCGCTTTTGAATCTATCATAAACATGGATTTCATTTGAAAATCATTCATATCTCATGATCTCAAGGAAAATATTGTTCATTTTCTGAGATTTCAATGGTTTGTTTCTAATGATTTAAAATTGTACCTGATATTGTATTCAGAGATCGCCATAGAATTTAAATTTTTAACATTTCTGTTAACATGACTAGTTTAATTGATCATCATCTTAAAAGTTTTAAAATAAAATTGTGAATTTGTTGTGTTTAATTTAAATGAAATAATATTGAAGTATATTGTAATGTGTTATTATTTGTATCTAATATTTTAATGAATATATCTATAATCAGCATATGATTTTATTGAAACTAACATACGTATTTGATTGGAAGTTTATTTATGTTTTTGTTTTTCTCTTTTGCATTTCTTAAATTATTTGTTGTTCTTCATATTTTTCATTTAAATTTAAACATGTATTTCATAGAAATCATGACAATCTACACAACCACCGGACTCATTAGGCCTTTGGACTATAGTCGTTTGGGAATCGAACATATTACTGTCGCAGGGTTCGGCAGCATACGAAGCCATTACTACCGCACCTCGTGGTACTTTTTTGCGCGTACGACTTTGTCGTACACGCGCCCTATGCTAGGAAGGTCTCTTCTGATACAGACAATCCATGCATGTTGTATGTTCGGGCGCTGAAGAGCTCAACTGATAGGGACGGTCATGAGGACATTGTGGTTCATGGTAAATGTTATAAGGTGTGGAAGTGATATTTGTTTGAGGGCCATATTGATGATAATATTGATCAGTATTTGCCGCAGCAACAGCTGCAGCTGCTGCCTCATGTCTATAACTGGAAAATGCATTTTCGGCTGATTGAGAACGTATGGGACCCGATGAATCGGATGTATTAATGGTGTAAATATGCTCAGGTGAAACACCATAGCGATACGAACTACTTGTGGTGCTGTCACGGGATAAAGAACGTTCTAAGGATTTGCTAACACGTCTAGTGGAGTCAGTACGAGTGGCACTATCACGTCTTACGGAAACATAATGATCGCTACAGGTGCGATTGTCATATATGGGATAATACTGATAGTAAGCTTCTTTGCCTTTATTGCCGCCATCGCCATTGTCGATATGAGCATGGGCCGAAGCACTGCGTTTTCGTGAGCCGCCAAAATTGCGATCAGGCGAACGGGATTCGAAACTACCGCGAGGAGATTTGAGTACAGAACGTGGCAAGTCGAGATTCGGCTCCGAACTGCGACTATCGAAACTATTGCGTGGTGAATGATGCTGACACATTTTGCATCCCGACCGGTCTGGAGACAAGTACTCGATGCTATTGCGAGGCGATAAATGTGGTGACAGCGATTCAAGACTGCAATCGTGTGATGGTGTCAGTTTTTTCAAACAACTACGATCGGGACTTTTAGCCTTCGAAGGACTGGCAGGTCTTTTGAGTATTCCTCCCGAAGGACTAGCTGAACGCTTTAGAATACCAGTACCATCTGAGGATCTTCTAGGACTTGGTGTACGCCTTCCGGCCGAAAGGCGGTCATGAGAGGAATCACGACTTGAACTGACGCTTAAACGTTTACCCTGATCACTTAAACTTGTGCGAGGTGATTTTATTTTAATAATACGTACCGGCGAGCTACCCTGAGATTTAGAGCGATCTGGAGAAACATAAATGCTTTGACGTGGTGATTTGGTCGGTTTTGCTTTAGAACTGGCCGAGCTTGTGCTACTGCTGCCGTTACTACCGCTGCTAACGGCTTTAGTTGATTTAGATATTTTATCGGATGACTTTGATTTGAATACCTTGTCGACCTTTTTATCGATTATTACATGCGCAGCAGAAACGACAGTAGCAGCAGTAGCACAGTCTTCGGATTCATCTTCTGACTTTTCAGATGTACCCGTAGTAGTACCAGTACTATCGGATTCTACTGAAGGTCGTGGTGGTGATTCTATATCAGCGATTACCGTTTGTTGGGTATTTTCAACGACTGTCTGGGGTTCAGGGGAAAGGCTGGAGTCATTTTGTTGTTGATCTCCTGCGTCCATGTTCAGGTCAGATGTTTCTATTGAGGTCTCTTTTAAATTGGCCATATAGGCCTCAATGTCACATGTGGTGTCAGTCAAATTTTCTTGTTCTAGTTCACTCAAATGTTTGTCCATGTATTGTGTGTGTTCGACAGTGTTGTTGGCTGAGTCGCTGGCATGGCGACTAGATGTTTTTCTGGAAGACTCTTTGGAGGAAATGTGTACAACCGACACCTGCTGTGCTGCAGCAGTTATTTTATCAATTTCACTCTTAAATATTTCAATTACTTCTATATCTTGTTTGGGCGATTGTCGAGGAGAAAATCTATTTATATTATTACTATTGTTGTTATTATTGTTATTCTTGGGTGCATGCATATTATTGCCAGAATTGGAATCACTGTCGTGTTCCATTCTGGAACCCCCACTACCACCACTTAAGCTGGGGCTAGTGAAGAGACTACCACTACTTCCTAGACTTAAATTTAAGGCTGCAGCAGTTGTAGCTGCCTGCAGATCTGACTCTAAAGCCAGTTCATCATCGTCACTGGCAACAGCAGTTTCATGGCATGCATTTTCATCTTGTTGTGATTTAAAATCTTGTGTATTAGAGCTACTCTTACCTAAGTCTTTCATAAGAACTGGTTGATACGTTGATGGCGGATGTGATGATTGAATCAAACGTGCCTGACTTCCGGTACTGCCAACGGAAAGCGTTGAAGTCGTGCTATAATAAAAATGTATGAGAAATATAATTTAGTTGTGTTTGCACAAGTGTAACATAAGCAAATGGTCAGAGAAGTTGTTACCAACCTTAATGTTAAATGATTTGGCGTTCGCCCTAGTGAGGCTTTTGTTTTAATAGTTCCTTGTTGGAATTCCTCTTCGCCTTCGGATTTAGTACCGGGATCTATACGTTCAATATCACTCTGTTGATGTAGATGCTGATGATGTTGTTGTTGTTGCTGCTGCTGCTGTTGATAAAGGTGTTGCTGAGGATCAGCTGATGCGCCTAGAACATCTATAATTATTATATTTTTTTTAAGTATTTTAAATAATGTCTGTTTTTGCGTTAAATCTTACCGGAAGCATCACCAACGGTTTTGCTACGACTACGGAAAGTAGACGTATGTAATGTGTGCATATGTTGGTGCTCTTGATACGGAACATCTTCTGCTTCCTGACTGCCCGAAATATTATCATAATCTATATTACCAGCTGAATGGCGCTGTGAGCCAGATTTCTTCTTGGGCTTACCCAGAGTTTGGGAACCTTGCATTATTGTTATCTGCAAAGAAAGTTAAACTTAATAGACCTTTCGCAATAGATGGCATTAACATACTTGTTGTTTTGGTCTTTCAAGTGTTTGCGAACTACCCGAACAACCACCCTGCGATGACATGCCCGACACGGAACCGGAGCTGCCACCGAAATTTTTCATAGGAATCGACATATTACGCACACTTTCACGTATGATTTGTCGTATGGTTTTTAGGAATGCATTACGGAAATCGGCTGTACTATTCGATAGTACATAGACCTTTTCGGAACGACGCTGTAACTGTGAACGAAGATGTATCAATTCCCACAAGAAATGCGAATCCATATCTTTGGCCGAAGAAGCACGAACTTGTACCTCTGTTACCGGTATTAGAACTTGATAACGTATAATTTCAACTTCATTGGGTGTAGTTTTACTTGAAACGCCCTATTGGTTAAGAAGAAATACAATATGTTATAGTTATGGGGGAGTTGTAACTAGTTAAGAGGCTTACCATAAGTTTTTTCTTCTGACGAAGACGCTCTTTACAAAGGAACACAACCGCTGATTTAAAGACAAAACACATGGCATGAAGCTCCAAGCCTTTTTTGATTTTGCCCAGAAAATCTGAAATATTTAACCACTCAACTCCGCCATAATATAAAAGATCACCTGGAAAGATCATAGAGAGTTCAATTAAGGAGATAAAAGTAGATCATTTATATTGTGAAGTTACCTGGACTAAGATCGATAGGTTGCTTGCAAGACTTTTGATGTTGCCGGAATAAATGATCAAATATGGCACCATATTCCTCATGTATTCTTTGCATTTCATTAATATGTTCGGCCACCTTTTCCATGCCCTTTAAAGCCTCTGTTTAGAAGAATAATATTTAAGTAAAAGATCGGCAGAATTAAATGAGATTAAAGGGAAAACTTACCGCACAAATGCAAGTGTTCATCAGCTCGAGAATCGGTTAGATTGCGCAATTGCTGCAGCAGTAGAGGATATTTGAGTATACGTTGTATGGGTTTTATCAAATATGATTCCAGAGTACAGCTGTGCTGCTGTTTGGGATTACGAGCAGCTAGGAACTCTTGCAAAGCATGATTTCCCTCATCTAGTGTTGCAAATAAGTTAAAATAAATTTAAATATTTTACTACAACTTTTTATACACAATTTTCTATAAAAACAATTTTGTAAAGAATGTATGTTTATATGTATGTATGTGTTGAAGGTGTAAATAAGAGTAAATATTATTTTTTTTATTTATTTTACCATTTAGATTGAGTATGAACTTTTTCTTCTAGAGATTTAAAGTGCAATCAATGTTGTTAAAATTTGTTTATCAACTTTTTTTTCCATTTTGTTAGAAAACAAATTGATGGATGTGTGTATTTTGCAGCAATTTTGTTATTTCATTTTTTTTTCACTAAAACTTATTGTTTCCTTTATTTATATGTAAACACATACACACTTCCAGGATGCTTATATACTAACACATTTGTGTAAGTATTTTTATTTCAGGAAACATTTTACTCAAAAATAACTTTTCTTCTAATGTTTTTTGTTTTGTTTGGTTTTATTTTTCATTATTGTATTTTTTTTTTATCTTCTAAGAATAAATCTAAACAGATATGAAATCTGATTACCTACAGTTTCAACAGGAAGTAAATTTATGTATGTGCGTGTGTGTGAGTGCGTGTGTTGTATGTGAAAGAATGAAAGAATAAATTACTTACTTGGATGTAAAACTTTTTGAGCTTTACTATGACTGGCACAAAACGACGAATACAGTTTAAAATGATTTACATAGTAAAGAAATGCGGAACCAATTGCAAAAAGTACATTCTATATAAAAAAATTAAAAAATAAAGAAATATTGTTAAACAATAATAATATTAAAGATTGTTATTAATTTATCATATACAACATATTTCCAATCTAGAAAATTTACATAACTAACCTACATATAAATAATAACTACTTACTCTATATTGACTAGGATGATCCAATTTATGAAACTCGGGTTCAAGTTCCAATGCTTCGACAAGATTTTGCAAAAATTGTCTTTGGAAAGTAACAATTTCATGGATATTGCCAAAGAGAGCATTAATTTCAGCATTCGATAAGAATGTCTCACGTTTCAACGGTTCCAAATAGTTCTCCAAAAGATTATTCAAATGCTGTAATAAAAATAAAATTAGTTCGCTCGATAAACTAAAACAATTAACAAAAGACAAAAACTGAAAAAAAATATTTACCTTGACATAAGTTTTCTCCGTATCCACTAATTCTAAAATAACTTTGCGCAACTTTTCGGCATCCGTTAGTTGGCGTGAGGGCGTTAGAGCTGCATTTGAAACCGAGGATGTAACGGAACCAGTAGGGCTTGATTTGCGAGTTTCCTGAGGTGAACGACAAAATCCGGTAACCTTGTGTAAGGTGTTCAACGAACGTTGTGTGGTGGTGGTAATAGTAGTAGTTATGGTGGTAGTTGTAGTAGTTGTGTTGGTGTTGTTGGCGTCAAATGGCACATGCGAATTTTGAGCGCAAGAGTGATGACGTATGAATATAAAATAAAATGAAGTCAAAAAATGTTAGGAGTGCTTAGAATGCTAGGACTGTGCGTATGGATTTACTAGTTATGGGGTTTGGTCTGGTATAAAAAAGGGAGTTAGAAGGGGCGGGTTAAGGAGTAAAAGGTTTTTCTAGATATATTGACATTGTTTATTTAAGCCAGGGACTAAGTACATACATTTGTTGTTTAAAATAAGAAATCGTGTTTATTTTTATAAATTTACTACTACTACTACGACGAGTAGCTAAAATAAGAATCTTTGAAGAGCAGTTGACACTGACAGTCTTCAAGTTGTAAGATGGTTGATTGCAATAATGGCGTGTGTCTTCTACATGTAAATAATATGTAGTATGTTCATGTGTGTGGCTGTGTGATTTTCTGTCTGAACTATTTTAGTTTTTTATTGCTGTTTGTAGCTTGTCATAGTTTTTGTTTTTTAATGTTTTGCTTGGTGGTCCTTCGTATACTCTAGTGGCATCATATCTTCCCTTCTCTTTCACTCTTGCTTTGTGCTAACTCTTGCTAAAGCTCTTTCACTAAACAGTGATACTTAATTATGCAAATCATTTTGTTTTCTACTCGTAAAATTGTTGTTTAAATCGTGATTCTTGACAAAAATTACAGCAAAACAGTTATTTTATGATTCTATTATTATGTGTGGATTAACGTGACCAGATGGTTCTTGAAGCTAAGCAGGATTAGCAAGATAATAGTGATAAATCAAATTGAAATTTTAAAATTTCATATTTTGTTTAAAAACTATAAGAAGTTAGTCAGGAAATAATCCTAGACCTGTCTGAACCTGAGCAGGGATCTAAAGATCCCACTGAAATTGTAATGGAGGAGTGGGGATGCGGACTCGGGTCCCAATTCCACTACAACATTTGTCCCTACGAATAAAGAAGATGTGCTGCTGAACTCGGCACCAAACACCTAGTCTTCTGTTGCCGTTGACCAATATACCAAAGACAAAAAGGCACTAACCTCTACTGAAAGGCCTAAACTCAGTGGAGTTGCGCGCAGACGCCTCAGACATATATTGAGCGTGGCATGAACATTGAAGAGGCACGAAAACTATGCCAGAAACCAAGAGGTTCGTAGCGAAATACGTAACTTAAAAATCTGGGGGGAAAGAGATGCAAATCTGATGGATGAAAAGCCTAACCCTCCTAAAAGGGTGGCAAGCCAAACATCAGCTGGCACTACTGTAGCCAAAAGTATGAGCAACGTCAATATTAAGCCACTCACCCAACAATCATATAAAGACGTTGTGGATATCTTTATACTTGGAGTCATACCACCAAACTTCCCCAAGATGATCCAAACAGCAGTCCTTGACAAAAATTGTGGAGCTAAATAAAGGCTTAATAAAAAGGCAGTACTGTTAGGCTGTCGTACGAAAATTACGATTAGTTTCACTCGATCACGAATGGAGCGGAGAATTCCAACTACAGCTTTCTTATCGGAAAGAAAATTTGATCATCTGATCACGATGGAGGTAATTTTGACTCAAATTCGTGATCATGTGAATTTTCGTATCGGAAAGAAATTGTTAATAGCGAATAAATGTAAACTGAATGCCGGAAGAATATTACGATTAATTTTACTCGATCAAGAATGTGGTAATTCTTTAAAAGGCGGGATCTGGTCACGTTAATTAGTAAACAAATAACGTGAACGTTGTAGTTTGTCGTCTATACTATTATTATACTCAGAAGATGTACATATATGTATGTAGTTGTTGCAGTTGTAGTAATATTTTAATAGTAATATATTCATCTAATAATGTACAAACATACTTAGTTATTTAGATGATATAAGAAGAATGCCAAGAAGGTTTTACTAAATATAAATGACTCAGTCAGTTATTCAGTCAGATACAGTCAGTTTAACTTCTAATATAATGTTAATGTTATTGTTGCGGTTGTTAGTTGTTATTGCTGTTGTAGTAGTTGTAGTTGTTTTATATAAAGAGAAAAAGATTATTTAATATAACGGTACAACTAAGTATATGTATGTTTGTGTATGTGTATAAGTATGTGTACATATGATGAAGAACAGCAACTTGAGATAAAAGTAGTATCCCCTTTTGAGCACCGCAAAATTTGCATAAAATTTTAAAGTGACAGCTTCTTGTGTTTGTTAGTTCAAGGTGTACGAACGTGAGTACCAGGGATAAAATAATTCATTTAGTACATGTAGTGTTTGTATGTATTTAATATGAAAAGTTTAGCTGTAAATGTATGTATGTATGTAAGTGTAAATGTTTTTGAGAGATAGAGAGAGAGCGTGAGGTAAAAGAGAGATTTGCTTGATTTGTTTTACATAGTTTCGTCTGTCATTGAGTCAGTCATCTAGTCATTTAGTCTGTAATTTACAAGCCTATACTGCTGCTGCCTATGTTTTGCTTTACGTCTGTAAATCCATCTATCCATCCGTCCAACTGTTTGTCTCGCTGTCTGTTCATCTGTCCTTTTGTTTGTCTAACTTAGTGTCTGGTTGTCAGATGTCTGAGTATGCAATTCAGGGAGGTTGTTGGTTGTTTGTTTCTGTTCTGGTCGTAACGTTGGGTGCGTGGCAGCAGATCGAAACTGGTGTTAGAATGTTTAAATGTGTACAGGTTTTGTTTTTAGTTTATTTTGTTTGTATGTTTTTTGTGTCTCTATACATACATACATATATATTTTATTATATAAAGCAAATTTTTTTCTGTTGTTTCTTCTTTTAAAAAGAGGTTTGCACATCAAGTATCATTAAATGAAGTGGGTTTCTGCCTTCAGTGATAAGTGCTCTTGGTAAAAGTTCCAAACCAAAAGTGCATTTCGTGAGTTTTTATCCTTCATTACTATTATACATTTCACTTTCGTGTTCTTTTGTTTGAGCAACACTACATAAAGGAAGATGAATTTCCATAGGTCCCTATACAAAAACAGTCACATGTAATAACCTATGTTTGTTGTGTAATGTTTATATGTTCATGTTCATGTACATTTACACATATATACATATGTATGTACATCTGTTTGTACAATTTACATCATATGTTTAATCTGCTGCATTTTATTTATGCTTTACATGAGTGTCTTGTACACATTCAAACGCTGTTACACATGCACACATACATACATAACCATCATTTTGGTTTACTTCTGTTATAGATTTAAATCAGTTAGAACCAATTGTAAATTTTGGCTATGCATTGATGGGCTTCTTTAAATAAGTTTATTTTGAGTTATTTATATGTTTTGAATGTCATCTTTAACTGTCCTTGTAAGAATTTTTGGGATCACAATCAAATAAGTTATATCAACACTAAAAGGATATGCAAAGGTAAAATAATGTCCAAAATTAGGGACCTTACTTTTCAGTTTCCATCAAACTCGGTGATTAGACTCAAGACCATATTCAAATGTGGTCAACATTGAATGCTGCACCCCAAGCCAGCTTTTGATAAACGTTTTTTTCGTATCGATCCAATACAATACAAACAAGTAAGAGTGTTATATTCGGCTATGCCGAATCTTATATACCCACCATCAAACCTCGTTTGACTCGAATGAAACTTACTTATGTCTAATTTCATCTATATATTCGTATTTTTAGGCCAGTTATAAGCGTTAAAGTAATTTTCTGAAGGGGACATTATATGGGGGGGGGGGGGTAGGGTCAATTATGGGTCGATCCTCATAAAATTTGGTAGACAGAATTTGGTTCGTATAAAATTTATTTGTGTCGAATTTCATCGCTACACTCGTATTTTTAAGTCATTAATGAGCGTTGCAGTCATTTTCTAAAGGGGACCTTATATGGGGGGTAGGGTCAATCATGGACCGATCAACATAAAATTTTTTAGATAGATTTTGGCTCGTATGAAAATTACTTATGTCGAATTTCATCTATATACTAGAATTTTTAAGCCAGTAATGAGCGTTAAAGTCATTTTCTGAAGGGGACCTTATATGGGGGGTAGGGTCAATTATGGACCGATCCTCATAAAATTTTGCACAGTGATTTTGGATCACAAGAAACTTACTTATGTCGAATTTCATCGCTATATTCGTATTTTTAAACAAGTTATGGCTGTTAAAGCTGCTTTTCTAGGGGCCACTTGAATGGGGGCTATCCGAAAACGTGGACCGATATTGCCCATTTTCAATACCAAACAAACCTTACCTATAAGAAATATTTATGTGAAATTTCAAGCCTCTAGCTTTTTCCATTCGGACTCTATCGTGCTTTCAACAGACAGACAGACGGACGGACGGACGGACAGACGGACAGACATGGCTAGATCGTCTTAGAATTTAATGAGGACCCAGAATATATATACTTTTGTGGGTCTCTGACCAATATTTCGATGTGTTACAAACGGAATGACAAAATCAATATACCCCCCATCTTTTTTGATGGTGGGTTTAAAAAGATGGAATTGATCCTTCCGTGATAGATCATATAAGATCTATACTTATCTATATTCTAAAACAAAGGGGTGGTGTGGGATGGTACTTTTACGTAGCACACCTGATTCTAATATAAAGCGTCTGTCAAGTCGTCTTGTACTTGATTGCCAAGCATTCCTTTACGAGAGTTTGAAACATTCCAGATTATCAACAGATACTTGGTATTTTTCTAGCAAGAAAATACCGCCATTTTTAGGGGTATAGCGATATTCAAACTCTACGATATTGTAGAATAACGAAAATCTTATCTTCGTCATATAACCCATAAAGTCTTGTTATGGATTCCGAGACTCAGTTAAGGAACACAATTGCATTGTTCACCGGCCACTAACATTTTGGGCTTCATGTTGATAGAATGAATCTAACAAGTAACGAAGTGACCTTCATAATGGGAGGAGGACAATAAGACTGCTCAGAATGAATAAGACCGATATTAGTATGATGGTATGTATTCATAGTGGGACACAAAATGTTTAGACGATTATTCGGACGATTACTATAAAACTTTGAAATACTATCTCTGTTATTGCCAATATTTCGCCGAAAAGATATCTAAATATCCTGAGAGCGATGTTATTCCAGATATTACATCTCTCAATACATTCAGGAAACTAATTTTCTGAGCATTATGCGATGAATCCTTTCATAGACCAATATATAAGGTTTTTCCACCAATATATTCCCGATAGCTGCTGAAGAATACTTTTCAAATCGGATGTAATATACAACCTCCTTTCAACATAACCTAATCCAAATTTAGCTACAAACGTTCGAAATTACTTAGTGTTAAACATGGAGTTCCGGGTTCAACATCTACAGCTTATGCAAGCTTTAGAACTTATGGGAATTACCGTAGAATCCATTGAATCGTTGAACGTTCATATATAGCCGCTTTGGAACTATGTTCTAGAGAGTGTCTTCACCTATTGGACTGGTATATTCCAATGTATCCACAGCTTATAAACAATGATTATTCTCATGATTATCTCGGATTATTCGCGTGTCCAATTAATTCTACTTCGTCTAACATATTATACTTCATATAAATATCAAACTATATATGTGGGTCTTCGAGATAGTTGATATGGTTTAAGGTATTCTTGATGCAAAATACTTTGAGAACCCCTGCTCTACAAACAAGATCAATTGATGTCTAAATTGGCATATTCCGATTTTGGATGGAACAATGGTCAAAATCGTTTCACTGTAATAAATTGACCAGCCTAAACAAATTTGCTCAAATTTCCTGCCGAAAGATTACCAAACAAGTTGATCAAGAATAGTGATTCATTTTTGGGTGTTTTATCTTGACCTAACCGTTATTTATGTATGTACTTAATCCAACATTTAATTTGTTGTGCAAATTCTCAAAACTTAATATAACATTTAATTTAAACTCTTTTTTATTGTTATAGTTTTGTGATTTTTTTTTTTTTTGGCATGCAAGTGGATTATTTACGAGATTGTTATTATGGGAGTTGCGTTAAAGGGTTGGGTGGGGTTTTGCGGTTGGTAGTTAGGTCATGTAGTGGCGGTTAAGCCGTTAGGTAGGTACAGAAAAAGAGAGTTGGCGGGTACAGTAGTAGTAGTAGTGTAGACGTTAAACAGTAATGAGATGTAAAACATAAGAGTGATGATGATGATGATGATGAAATAATGCCAAAATAACCCTTTTGCATTATTTGCTACTGCAGTGCAATAACCAACGTTAATGGATTTCACAGTTGCAGCAGCAGTTGCTGCTGGTTTTTTTGTTATTGTTGTTGGTGATGTATGACAATGATTACCAAGATTATGATGATGATGATTATTGTGAAATGTTGTGGTTTGCAACGTTTTGTTTTTGGCCCCATACTCCTTGTTTTAACTTCCCTCCCCACCTCAACAGTCCCTTTTTTTGGGCATTTTGGCCAGAGTGTTATATGGTCATGTCTGTTGTACTTACCTGTTCGGCTGTTTTTAGTAGATTTTCAATTTCGAAACTGCTTGTGCGTGACGTTGGTTTAGTGGCTGTACCCGCAACTTGAGTGACAACCGTTGGTTCAACGAACGAAGGAGCCGGTGAGCTTTCTGCCTCTGGTGAGTATAAATCTTTACCGGTGCCATCTGTAATCAAAATGAAATCATTATTAATCATAATCATCATTATTATTATTATTATTTGCAATTATTAATAATTACTAATAGCAGGTAAAGTGGGTGAAGAGTTGAAGTATGTTTCGTTCGAGTGGTTAATTTGTTTGCTCACACTTATGTGTTCTACAATTACTCCTTATCTCGCCATTAAAAACTAAACTATTTATATAGTACATACTTGTGTAAATGTCATATTTTATAGTGGGTGTTTAGATCAATGTTTTAAACATTCATGCTTATATGAGGCAGGTACATTCATAAGTATATTTAACATTTGTTGCAATAATAAATGTTATTAAATACTTCACCTGTCATTATTTCAATTAAAAAAAACTCTTTCCTCTTTTCGAGTCAACACTAAAACATGACGATTGTCCATAAAACTTGTTTTTAGCATGTAAATACACTCTGTACTTCGTTCCATACTTTAAAAAGAATATTATTTATGTATGAGTATAATAACCGTTATTTTTATATACATATATCCCTGCAGTTCGGGGTGTTAGCAGTGTGCATTTCCTAGTAGGAAATCAATTAACTCTTTGATCATTAGTCCACTTAGTTAAATAACTCAAAATATTTAAAGTGTCTACCTTATAGATTACTTAGGGTTACTGAAGTAACCACTGACCTTATGTTATATTACTTAGGAATAATGAAGTAACTATTGACGCTTTAAATGATACTGAAATATGTATATAAACTCGAGTAAACCACAAACTAAAACGGAAAAACTGACTCCTTGCAAAACTACCGGCTCCTTTTGTCTGTCTGTCTTTGTGTAGTTACGAAAACATGCCAACTTTTGTATAGTAATAAAATATATAAAAACATAAATATTAAAAAAAAATATTTAATAATAATATTTTATGTGCATGTTTTCTCCCTTTTCAAAGTTTTTCATTGGTTTTTCTTTCTAGTCTTGCATGTTTATTTGTGTATTTTGTCGCGTACATTATTTTCTCTCCAGAAGTGAGCAATATACATACATATTTAGTTTTCAACATCATGTTGCATGTGTAACTGCAATTTTGGCGAAAATACTCGGAAAAAAACTAACAAAATTTACTACATGGCGTCCTTTTTGGACACCCACTCTCTTCCGTTGTTGCAGCAGCTTAAATACACATGTAATTGTTAAAAAGTTTCGTTACTGTTTTTTGGTCAATGTAAACAAGTGTGATGTTCAAAAACATTTCACGGTTTGTAAAGCTCGTAAAATAACACACCAAAGAAAAAAGTTGTTTTAAACAATTTGTTTTACAAAAAAAAAAAACTTTTTGGTAATTTTTAAAGTTGTCTATTTAACAGCAGTTCAGTGTTTTTTTTTTTTTTTTTGCATTTCAAGTTATGGGCAATGTGCCTCACAGTATGCACGTTTTGCTGCTACTGCTGTTTGCCGTAATACTTTGGCGGAATATTACTTTTGCAACAAAATTAAAAAAGTTAAGCACTTTAATCTTTCTTTTTTTTAACTGACTGACTGAGTGTATCCAATAAATACAACCATATAATGGAAAATAATGTGTCAGGTCAGTCTTTGCCAATGGTTTTAATATTGAATTATGAAATTTATTTTTATGGTAGAGAATTTTAATCTCAGTAAAAAAAAAAGAAGTTTATGTGGCAAAAGTTGGCAAGAGAATGCAGTTATTGAAATACAGTTGTTGAATAATGCAACTAGAGGAAAGTCAGGAGAAACAGAACTACTTCAAGCACTAGTTCTTTGGGTATAGAGTCCATCCATGCATTGATTTAGAAGATGGAATGGAGAAATTATAGCCTAGTTGGTAGTGTAATAGCTTATCAATTTGGGGGTTATGAGTTCGATTCCTACCAGACTCTGGTCTGCTACAATACAATGGGCGTATAGTCATCGTCAAGAATTGAAGTCTTAGTGAAAAGTTTAAGTTTTTGCAAAAATTATCGGATTTTGGTGAAAAATTTGCAAAGCTTTAGAGAAATATATAACTTATTTTTAGGTTGAAAAATAAAAAATCAGGATTTGAATGAAAACTTTTGTTTTAAGGAACTTAGACGTAGCCGATTTCCGCTATAAAACAATCCGTATGTATCGACCAAATCTTACAGCATCGGTGAGAGGCTGAACAACTCTCATGTTTACATTTTGAAATCAAAGTTATATTCCATTTTGCATCGAGTTAGATCGGATGGCTTGATATTTGCTTTAGCTTTTGAGAATTTGTCGATTAAAATGATCACTGTCACTTTGTATATATTCCCTTAGCTATAATTCAACATATGTACATCACAATCTTATTAGATACTTAGTTCGTGAATAAGCGTTGATTTTTTATTCTATCGCGAAGGTTAAATTTTAAAAGAATCTGGGGTGGATTTGAATAATATTGATCGTAATTTTTCCGTTTTTTAGATATTGGTATTTGATATCGAACAAAAAATCTAGTACATTTGAAATTCATTTCAATAAGAAAGACTATTCGATCATGAAGGCAGTAATTCCGCCTCTGATCTGGGGCTGAATCTTATTAGATGTGATTAAGAATAATTTGTTCTTGAAGATAGTTTCCTGATAGTAACTTGGGGCCAAATTCTGGTATTCGAAAGCGATCGAAATATATAATAACATTCTTTTAAATTCTCGAATGAGAGAATTTGCTCCTTTAAAACAGAAAGGGGAATAATCACGAATCTACACCGTATTATATTCGATTCTTTTAGTTCATGAACTGTTAGAGTGACTTTTGTCTTCCATATTTGACACTTTTATGAATGTTTAGAGTCCAGGGTGGGAATCGAACTCTAGGCTGATATAACTAGCTAGCAACGAGAACTAGTTTAGGGAGAACCATATGAGGCATTTTATTCTTAATCCAATGAAAAATTTTATGTCAATATTTCTTTTAAATTCTGAACGCTATGTTAAACATATATATGGTTCTTAATATAAGAAAATAGACTTAAGTCCACATAAAACTAACTTAAATTACTTAAACAACAACAAACAAAAAACTTACTCCAACCTGGGGCCGGTACTATTAAACCAGTAATCATTTCTTCACTCATTACTGGTGGATCCGAAGGTGGTGGTGGACAAACAAGGGAATCAATCATATCATCAGTAACACGCATAATGCCACCAAGATCTGGTGGTTCAGTACGTGATGAACTAAATAAAGTGAAAAGAAAAAAAAAAGAAGAAAAAACATTTCATAAGTAAATAAACTTAAAACTTAAACAAAAGACTAGAAAAAAAAAAAATAAAGAAAAATCAAAAAAAAAAAAACATAAAACTTACCGCATCATCATGCTTAATGACTGCTCCTCCTGTAGAACACTCTCCAGATACATCATATCTAGATCGGATACAATAGCACCATTTATGACCATTATTTCATCTCCCTTGATAATACCTACAAAAAAAAATGAATACATAAAAAGAAAGGAAACAAGAAAACGAATTAGAAAAAAAGTAAATATAAGATATTTTCAAGAATTACCGGATGTTGTTTTCAAATTTTCAAATTCATATTGAAATACATACATAAGAGTGTATGTGTAAATATTGATCAAAGATAATTATATTTATGGGTATATGTGTCGGTGTGTGTGTGGAAAATTCTAAGCATTGAAAGCCATGAAATGTAGTTTTGAATTGTTAGTATTGAAATTCAAATACTACGAGTACATTGTCTTTGAAAGAACAATATAAAATCTATTGTCCTTTTTTTATTCCATGCTGATGATGATGATTGTATATTGTAACATAATATTTTGTTATTTGTGTGTATGTATGTGTATGTGTAAGAGTACAAGTGTGTTTAGTTACTTGGATTTTCCATATATATGTATATTTTTTTGTTATTTTCTAAACACTTTTTCATTCATCCATCCATATACACCATTCCTACACCCTAGAGAGTTGGACAGTGTGTTTCATTTGATTTTATTTCATTTCATTGTAGTGCAAGTGTGCATTGTTTGTCATACTCTCTAAACGACAAGTGCATCCATCTATTGTCATTGTTTTGTTTGTATAGAGAGGAGAGAGCTTTGCTTTTATTCTTATAATTTTTTTTTTGCTGTATTGTTGTTATTGTTATTATTATTTAAACCTTTACAAAAAACCAACTTTACCTTTATCTTTTGTGCAAAAAAAAAAACTGTTTGTATGTTTGCTGCTGTTTCTTCATTTTAGTTTTTCATCCATAAATTTAAAACTATATAGTTGTATGAATTTCTAACAACTAAAATCTGTATGTTTTTTTTTCTATTGTTATAGTTGTAAGTAACTTGCAACACTTTTACAGTTGAGTGCCAAATATAATGAAGTAGTTTTGTGCACGATTAAATATTAATCAGAATTATGAATTTCCATTCCTTGTAATTAAATTGAATACTACTTATTAATTGGTTTGCTGATAACAAGTTGAAGTTCAGAAGGTACTTATTATGGCAGCTATTAGACAAAGATGTCTTAGTGTAATATAGTTTTAATTTTAATGGAAAGGTTTTGTTAGAAATCAGAACTTTATATTGCACAATGGGCTAAAATTTAAGAAAAAAATCTAGCACAAGTTTATTTCTATAAACAATTATTTAAATATAGAGGAAGTTATATTACATTGAGTCAACTAATGTTGGATAAAAAGAGCTTATATATAGGCTTTCTTGGAAGTGATGTTTAAGAACTTCCAGGAGAGTAATTACTTATCTAGTTTTCGTAAAGACTTATTACGGAATTGGGATATTTGAACATGTTATAATGAGGCTACTAATTACAATAGAAGTGCATAAAAGGAACTTCACGATAGATTACATTGCTCAACTCATGTTGGATAAATAGAGCTTATAAATAAGCTTTCTTGGAAGTGATGTTTAACAACTTCCAGAAGAGTAATTACTCATCTAGTCTTTGTAAAGACCTAGTACGGAATTGGGAGCTTTGAAGTAGTTATAAAGAAGCTACTTATTAGAACAGAAGTCCAATAAATGGACTTCAAGATGGATAGTATAAAGATAAGTCTAATTTATTCTAGTCTTCGTAAAAACTACGGAATTGGGAGATTTGAACTCGTTATAAAGAGGCTACTTATTACATTGCTCAACTCATGTTGGATAAATAGAGCTTATAAATAAGCTTTCTTGGAAGTGATGTTTAGCAACTTCCAGAAGAGTAGTTCTTTATTTATTCTTCGTAAAGACTTACTATAGAATTAGGAGCTTTGCTCTCGCTATAAAGGGGCTACTTAATACAATGGAAGTGAAAAAAATGGACTTCACCATGGATAGAATATAGAGCAGTTATATTAAAAAACTGTTCTAAAGATTCTTAGGCTTTCCTGATATACACCCACGTATGTATACATATGTCATAAAAGGCTATTGCAATAAAATCGTATCCCTTTCTGGTAACCCAAACAAGACACGTCTTGATCTAATAAATAGTCTTATTATACGTTTACATTCGTGTTGTACCAATATACGGCTCTTTCTTCGTTGTTCACAAAAGTTTTTAAAATGAAGACTTAACACAGAGCTCCCAAAATTCTTATCAGCCTTAAGAGTGAGCACTTGACTAAATTAGACCCTCTAGAAACACATGAAATTCATGTGGACGAGAAAGCATTAGACAGCAGAACTTAAACTTCCCTGTATTTTAGAAGTGAACCAGCTTTCTCCAATTGTTGTTTCCATAGTGAAATGTTTTAATTATATAGGAAATTTTGCAAAATGCAACAAGTCATGACTATAATTTTAAACACTGCTGTGTGCAATTTTCTTTAACTGTACAAACTTTTTTATGAATACTATTCATATTTAAATGTATTTCAAATGTATGCATTTGCAATATGTGTATAATAGTTTTTGTTTAGTTTACGAAAGTGTGAATTTATGTTCATTTCTTCCTTTTTATGTACAGAATTTTTATACATACATATGTACAGGGTGGGCCATTAGTAGGTATCTTATTAAAAAATTTAATAAAATGAAACACAATTTCATTCTTATAGCTGAAACGTTTGGTTTCGTTATAGCAAGTTTTTCAAAACTTTGTTTGCGTTTTCTGGTTTTATCTTACGAATGACGCGGTTGATATTAGTCTTAATTTTTTCATGAATGTGTATTGGACACGGGTGTCCCTAGATTTTGTACTGAACTTATATTCATTAAAAGTCCAGCGCTTTTGTTTTGTGTGTGAAAGGGTTAAGTTTGTGGATCGCTTTGGGATTATCAGCATAGCTTTGGAATGTAACATTACGTAACAAGACAATGTCTAAAGACGTCTGATAACACAACTACCAAACTTAGTGCTTAAAAGTTAGAGTTTCTCATGAACTGTGTGTGACCTCAGTAGCGATGGTCATGTGACAAAGTCTAATGAGGACTGTAAGCTGTAAGGCAAGCAATTGACAACATCAATTGCTTAAAAGGTAGATTTTTTATTAACTGTGTGACTTCAGTAGCGATAGCTATAGTTTCATGAATTCTTCAGCATAAACTTGAATCAAAGAATCGCGATGGGTCGGGAAAACTTCTTTGTTGTTAAAGTGTGAAGTGAACAAATTTTGTCCGTGGAGGTATAATACTGACGGATATTCACAGTCTACCAGTGTCAAAGTAAACTATGATTTTTACAGATACTAGTAGTTGGACCACCCTGTAGATTCAAACATTCTACTACACACATATGCCGACATCTTTATTCATTGCATGTAAAACACTACAACAATTTTAAAGCGAATACTAACTATATATGCCGATGTTTAAGATGCTATAAGTAATGTTGTTGGATTATTAGATTTCAAAATAAATAATACATCAAAGCGGGTAACGTAACAGATGGGATTTACTTAAATTTGAAAATATATTTCAAAAGGAAACATAACGGTTCATTTATAAGTAAAGGTACATAACATTTTCTCATAGTTTAAAAGCAGTTCGTTTTAGCTACATTCTCTTGTAATATGTTATTCATATGGTACCATTATTATTATTATTTTATCTATCAATTTATTTTATTTTTTATTTCATTTTTTTGTGTGTGGCAAAACTTTAACAGACATAAATTGATTCTCAAAACGTGGCAGTTTACATAAAAGTCTGGTTAGGTTTTTTTTTATTATTTTATACACCTTCCGTGTCTTTCATGGATAGAGTAGACAAACATTTTACAATTTTAGACACTTCACTTCTTTGCAAATATTATATGACTTTATTGCTTTTATTTTTGCCATACAAACGAGTTGTAAAAATTTAAATATACATATTTGTGTTTAGATAAAAGGCAATAAGAAAATAAATATTAAAGTTAAATATTTAAAATAACTTTTAATATGACATAATCATAATAAAGATTAGTTCTTTATAGTGATTTTGAATGAGGGATTGAGAACAAAATCATTAGACTAATAATAAACATCATGAAATAGTATTTATTATTGTATAATTTAATTAAATATATAACCTTTCTAAATAGGATATAATATGTTTTTGTTTTTTTGTATGTTAATTATTTTCCTTTTACTTACCATTTTGCATTGCTACACTTTTATCTTCCACGCGACTGACATAACAGCACAGTTCATCCTGTCGTTCAGCATTTTCAATAAGTTCAGCTTCAACCGAGAAACCCCACATCTGTTCCAATGTTGTACGATGTAATTCGACTTGATATAAAATTTTCATGCAAACTTCTACGAATTCGTGATTATGTAACTGTTTATGGAATGAATATAAAAATATTTTTTTTTTGTATTAGAAAATCACATATGTTAATAATAATGTATATTTTTTATATTAATACTAGACAAATACATAAGGAAGCACTTTAAATGGAATTACATTATCACTACTTTGAAAGTAGCACTTATTATAAACTCCTCAGAAAGTGATGACTTTGACTACTACTCAAGTTTATAGTCTAATCTAAAGTCTGGTCTATAGTGGTCTAGTCTATAATCGTCTAGTCTATAGTCATCTAGTCTATAGTGGTCTAGTCTATAGTCGTCTAGTCTATAGTCGTTTAGTCTATAGTCGTCTAGTCTATGTATAGTCGTCTAGTCTATAGTCGTCTAGTTTATAGTCGTCTAGTCTATAGTCGTCTAGTCTATAGTCGTTTAGTCTATAGTCGTCTAGTCTAAAGTCGTTTAGTCTATAGTCGTCTAGTCTATAGTCGTCTAGTCTATAGCCGTCTAGTCTATAGTCGTCTAGTCTATAGTTGCCTAGTCTATAGTCGTCTAGTTTATAGTCGTCTAGTCTATAGTCGTTTAGTCTATAGTCGTCTAGTCTAAAGTCGTCTAGTCTAAAGTCGTTTAGTATATAGTCGTCTAGTCTATAGTCGTCTAGCCTATAGTCGTTTAGTCTATAGTCGTCTAGTCTATAGTCGTCTAGTCTATAGCCGTCTAGTCTATAGTCGTCTAGTCTATAGTTGCCTAGTCTATAGTCGTCTAGTTTATAGTCGTCTAGTCTATAGTCGTTTAGTCTATAGTCGTCTAGTCTAAAGTCGTCTAGTCTAAAGTCGTTTAGTATATAGTCGTCTAGTCTATAGTCGTCTAGTCTATAGTCGTTTAGTATATAGTCGTCTAGTCTATAGTCGTCTAGTCAATAGTCGTCTAGTCTATAGTCGTCTATTCTATAGTCGTCTAGTTTCTATAGTCTAGCCTATAGTCTAGTCTATAGTGTAGACTATAGTCTAGTCTATAGTCTAGTCCATAGTCTAGTCCAAAGACTAGTCTATAGTCTAGTCTATAGTCTAGTCCATAGAAAATTAATAAAATATTTCCATGATCTTTGAAAACGAATAAAAACTGTAAAGTATTGCAGACTTTCCAAATGTTGAATAGAAATTAACTGGAAAAGTTATAAATTTAATGTGTATATTTCTTTAGAAGTCATCCATTTCTTATGCTTTAAAATAAAATACATATTATCTTTGACGTTACATTTGCCATTTTAAAAGACAACTAAATAATTTTCCTAACATTAAGTTCAGACTGCATGATTCGCTGCAATCAAATACAGATGGTTGTCTCGATTTTTCTCCATTTTTTTCTTCTTCTCTACATTAAAAAGCAAATAATGAATTACACGGTGATGGAATTTAAATCTAATTTTTTTTCTTTGCTCCTGCACAACCTTATGTGTGTGAGTGTGTCCATATTAGTGGCAGAAATTTTATATATGTGTGTGCACTATGACGGAAGTTAAACTGCCATTTGCATCAGTGATTGTGATTTCCTCTGTTTCTTTTTTTGTCTTGTATTTTACGCTTCTTTCATGGAGTATACACCCACATAGAAATACACACACATACATAACCCAGCAGTTTGTGGTTATAGAATTGTGTCTAGTTATTAACTATAAAATCTTTGTTTACTAGTATAAGTATTAATTATTTCACATCCATTCGATATGAATCTGTAAGAGATTACTTGTTGTGGGTTTAATATTCCATTTTATTAATTTTAGATTCATAAATTTCATAAGCCACAGTTTAGAGATACACTAATTACTACTAAAACTACTGGGCTATATACAAGTCATACAGACACGAAATACATACATTTTTCAAACGAGTTGTTGCTTGTATAAAATTTTGCAAAAGTGAAATCTTTGTAAAATGTCACAAACACAATTACATTTGTTCTTACATACACAAACATATGTACATATATAGATAAAATATTTAAACGAACTTGTGTATACATTTATAGATATGAATGTTTGGTTAATACAAATGTTGGTTTTTGCAATTTTGTACAAGTCATTTGAAATTTTCTCAAAAATCTTTTCCTTTGGTATATTTTGAATTTTATCGCAAAACCTCAAAAATCATTCAAACAAAATAACACTATTGTTGTTGAAGCATTAATTTGTAATTTACTTAATTGTAATTTTAATATTGTGTTTTTGTATTCTAATCATGTTTTTTGAGGGCTTCTTCTGTGGTTAGATTAAAACTTGTAGCCAGATTGTGTACCTAGAGAAAAAATAAGCTTGGAGACGTTACTTTGGCTATAGTCTAGTCTGTAGTCTAGTCTATATTCTAGTCTATAGACTAGACTATAGACTAGACTATAGACTAGACTATAGACTAGAATATAGACTAGACTATAGACTATACTATAGACTAGACTATAGACTAGACTAGACTATAGACTAGACTATAGACTAGACTATAGACTAGACTATAGACTAGACTATAGACTAGACTATAGACTAGACTATAGACTAGACTATAGACTAGACTATAGACTAGACTATAGACTAGACTATAGACTAGACTATAGACTAGACTATAGACTAGACTATAGACTAGACTATAGACTAGACTATAGACTAGACTATAGACTAGACTATAGACTAGACTATAGACTAGACTATAGACTAGACTATAGACTAGACTATAGACTAGACTATAGACTAGACTATAGACTAGACTATAGACTAGACTATAGACTAGACTAGACTGTAGACTAGACTATAGACTAGACTATAGACTAGACTATAGACTAGACTATAGACTAGACTATAGACTAGACTATAGACTAGACTATAGACTAGACTATAGACTAGACTATAGACTAGACTATAGACTAGACTATAGACTAGACTATAGACTAGACTATAGACTAGACTATAGACTAGACTATAGACTAGACTATAGACTATACTATAGACTAGACTATAGACTAGACTATAGACTAGACTATAGACTAGACAGCCTGGCCTTTAATTTATACTTTAGTCTAGTTTGTAACATCGACCATAGTCTGGTCATTAGTCTCGACTATAGTCTATTCTTTTTACAATCATTTCATACATGTATATTACTGTAACCATTTACAACCATATTTTTCTCTTTGTGTATAAATTTTTATACCGTATGTGTGTGTTTTTGCATTAGTATCTATCAAATTGTGATTGCCTATACGAGTCAAAGAAAGAGAGGATGTGGTTCCAGTATATACATATGTATGTAAAAGTATATACATATACATATGTACGCGTGTGGTTATGAGAAACTAATAATTAATGTTTCACTTGTATAGAACGACAATGACATTGTGAAAAGTTTTCCATTTTCTTTCTGTTCAAAGGACAAACCTCTGTTGTCCGTTATACTCTGTGTTCTTCGGTGAGATGTATTTTAAGTGGCGGTATGTTGTAATGGCAACAGTAGCTCAACATACCAGCAAAAGGTAAAACTAAAAACAAAAAAAGTGTGGAAAAAATAACAACAACTAATGAAATCTTGTTCTTTTTTGTTTTTTTTTGTTATGGGCAAACTTTAACGCCATATCTCAGGAAACTGACATACAGCGGATGTTGTTACAACATTATAAAGACAAGCAAAGAACAAACTTGCTGCAACCACCTACACGACACATACAAATTGTTCAAATATTACTACAATGATAGTTTTTTTTAACCACCTTTGTTGTTTTTTTTTTCCATTTTTATTTTTTAGCTCAATACAGATACATATAAAAAGGAACCGACTCCTGAGTAGCTATAGCCACATATATACTCAGACTCTACACAAACAAGGACTTATTTAAATAAGACTCTAGTAGAAGGAAATAAAGAAAAAACTTTTCTAATTTCTATAGCTGTGTCTGACTTTAACCAAACGAACGTTGAAACTAACAACTAAACATTACTATAAAGTCAAAGTTCTTTTAAAGGAAGTAAATATGCAGTTGACTTATTGCCTTACAGTTTTGGACATTTTTCAAAATTCAATAGAAAGAAAATAGGTGTAAAATTCTTAAAAAATAAAGAAATTTATTACAAATTGTAATTGCTAGTTATAACGATAAAGATAATTTCCACCAAAGATTTCATTCATACATGATACATTGGTTGGTTGGTTAGCTTGTACTTACATAATTTTCGATTAAATCATTTCGGTGTGGCACAAAGTAATTGTGATCTTCCATGTCACGTCGTTTCTTAACACGTACGAAATGTTCCATGGGATTGAGATTGCGTCGGGCACAAGCACTTGCCAGAAACTCTTCCACTGACATCGCGTCACGTAGGTAAACAGTCGAGTAAGCATTGTCAGGCATTGCAACTTTGAATGTTTTTTCCGGTTCATCACGAGAATTCAACTGGAAAACACACATACACACAAAAATTGATTAAATACAAAAAGTCGAAAGAAGAAAATGAAAATATCAAACAAACAATTGCTCATCTAGCTAACTGTCTTTATGGAAAACGACAAGTTTAACTTAAAAATTTAACATCTTAATCTTCTTATATTTTTTCTTCTTCTTCTTATAAGCTTCACGGAAGTGAACGAGAAGAAGTTGTGAAAAATGTTTTATAAAAATTGTTATTGCTTTTAAATAATGTTTGCTAATATGATAGATAAACTGAAAACTTGTTGTAGTTTTTCCTAGAAGACAAGAAAATTTATCTAAGAAAGTTAAGCGTTATTCTGTTTTGTGTATTTGGTACGAAGTTTTGTGTTTGGTCTTTATATTAAGATTTTCAAACAATTTGTTGAACAAAATTCAAAATAATAGACTAGTCTATAAGTTAGTCAATGGACTGGTCTATTAGCTAATCAATGGACTAGCTATAGACTATGCTATGAATTAGTGGTTAGTCTACAGATTAGTGTATGGATTAGTGTATGGATTAGTGTATGGATTAGTGTAGTGACCAGGTAATGGACAAGTCTAGTGAATAGTCTAGGGACTACTTAATGGACAAGTTTTGTACTGGTCTATTGGTGAGTGAAGGGATTAGTCTATGGACTAGCCTATTGGATAATCCATACACTATTTAATTGGATGGTCCCTACACTGGTCGATCTTCTTTAGTCTTTGAATTAGTAGTAGTCTATTGGCTAGTCAATGGACTAATCTATGGCCTATCCTATAAACTAGTCTACGAACTACTCTATGAACTATCAGCTAGTCAATGGACTAGTCAATATACTATTTTATGGACTACTAGTGAAATAGTCTACTGTCAAGGGATTAGTCCATGGACTTTTGTAGGTCTAGTCTATTGGATACACCCTATACTAGTAGATAGAGTAGTCTTAGAATTAGGACATCGATTAGTCAAGGGATTAGTTTATGTACTAGTCTAGGAAACAGTCAATTGATTAGGTAATAGACTAGTCTATTGGATAATCAATGGACTAATCTATAGTTCATCTATGGCCTATCCTATGAAATATCAACTAGTCAATGAACTAGTCTATATACTATTCTATGGACTACTATTATATAGACTAGTGTATGGATTTGTCTAGGGATTAGTCAATGGACAAATCTAGGGAATAGTTTAGGGACTACTCAATGGACTAGTCTATTGGTGAGTCAAGGGATTAGTCCATGGACTATTGTAGGTCTATACAATTGGATAGTCCCTACACTAGTAGATAGAGTAGTCTTTAAAGAGTCTATAGATTAGGCAATGGACCAGTCTAGTGAATAATTTAGAGACTAGTCAGTGGACTAGTCTAGTACTAGTCTATTGGTGAGTCAAGGGATTAGTCCAAGGAAGATTGTAGGTCTTGCCTATTGGATAGTCCCTGCACTAGTTGATAGAGTAGTCTTAGAACTACTCTATAGATTAGGCAAAGAACTATTACATCGATTAGTCATGGGATTAGTTTATGCACTAGTCTAGGGAACAGTCTACTGATTAAGTAATAGACTAATCTATTGTCTAGTCAATAGACTAATCTATAAACTGATCTATGGCTTATCCTATGAACTAATCTGTGAACCACTCTATGAACTAGTCTAATAGCTAACCAATGGACTATTCTACGAACCAGACCAGAGTAGTATATAACTATATGAATTATTCAATGGGCTAGTCTATTAACTAGTCTATAAGCTATCAACTCCAATTTTGTCAAATTATTTACAGTTTTCATTCTTTTTATTATAAATCTATGGCCTATCCTATGAACTAGTTTGTGAACTACTCTATGAACGAACCAGTCTATATACTTACTACTCTATGAGTTATTTTATGAACTGGTATAGTAACTAGTCTATAAACTATCAGCTCGAATTTTGTCAAATTATTTGCAGTTTTCTCTTTTGTTTCCACGAAAAAAGACATCAGATCGTATACTTAATAAACAATTTTATATTAAATAAAAATCAATCATACACCCCGTAGTCATTACTTACAATTGGTTTGTTTTGTGAGGAATACTAGTGGTATGAGTAATATTTAATTATAAATTTGTGGTATTTAAAAAAATATTTTATTTTCTTTATATCTTCTAAACTAATAGTCTAATTGAAAAACAATCTTTACAAAAATGATTCTAAAAGTCTTAAGGTATAAGAAGATTATTGTTAAAGCTTTCTAACTTGAATTGATAATAAGTTATAGACTATTGAAAATGAATAACTCGTGCATGAAATATATTTTATTTATTACATTTACAACAAAATGAGTTTTAACTTTGATTAAAGAAATTTATTATACAATTTCTTTGGAATTTAAAAAAAAAATATTAAATTTATCCCATAAATATCTTGCAAAATATCAGAATATTAAATATATTCTTCTAAGCTTTAAGTGAGATTTTTTTCTTTTTTGCTATCAATTTTCTTTTTTTTTATTACAAATTTATTGTAATTTTTTAAACTAAATAAAATTGCAAACCTCAAAGTAGCAAATGATGATGAAAAAGAGAACAAAAGTAATACTTGCAAATTAACAATTGTGTTCTTAAGTATTTTTTGGTCTACTTATAAGAACAATCAAAGGAGTAAAGGTTGTTTGGTCGATTGATTGCTGCTTGGTTTTATTTTATTTTTTTCACAATAAAAGAAATTATTGACAGCAATTTTTTTAAACAATGACGTCAAAGCATATAAGAAAAACTTTTAAGTTCAAGTGTTAAGAAAAGAAAAAATATATTTTTATATTTATATCATCAATATATTAAATAAATATACATTTAGTTCTATATGAAAAAGTAATTTCAAATTAGAAAATATATGTTTGTTGTTAAAAAGTTATTAAGTTACAATTAAAAGCCTCTTTCAGTTATTGTTTAAATATATTGTATTACTTTGGTAAAACATGTTTTATCATTAAATATTGAATTTGTTTGTAAAAAATTTTCTTTAGAGTAAATATAATTTTTGTTATTAAAAAAATATATAAAGTAATATTTAACGAATTTTTTCAACATTTTCCAATAGTGCTACTACTTTGTATGATTGTGTTTGTCCATAAAATACAAATACATACAAGTGTATACAAATAGATAAATGTTTTTGTACTCTTATGTTTTTTGCGTATTTGATCAAATGCATGTTTCCGGCAGTTGTAGAGATAGAAAATTGGCAGTTTTGCTTTAATTTTAACTCTACTGGGACTGGTTTTTCTGTTGCAAATATAACTGATAATATTTTAAACAACAAAAAATTAGAAAAATCAAACAAATTAAAAAAAAAAGCTTCACAATTCGCTAATAATTTCACTAATGCATATGTCATTGTTTGGACAAATTAACTGTATAGTTTAACCTATAGTTCCCTGGGAACTAACTAATTCCAAGAGCTGTTGGACATATCTCTACATATGTGTTCATAAATAGATGTGCACTAGTACATGTATAACTCAATTATTCTTCAGAAAAATTAGGAGCTACAGGCGAACCATAGTCTGAATTAAAGGAGTCCATTACAATTAGGACAAAATAAATACTTATTGAACCCTGGATTGGGACTGAATAAGGGGCACACGATTTGGACTAAATTAGAAACTGCGGCTGAATCCTAATTGGGACAAAATTAGAAGCTATTGGCTTAGATAAAGAGTTAGAATTGAATCATAATTGGGACCTTATAGATTGTTACGACTGCACAAAATTTGGACCTTCATTGAATCATAGTTATAACTGTGATTAAACCACAAATGGTGCACCCGAATCGGACTAAATTAGGAATTATGAATGAATCACAATTGGGAACAAAATTAGGAACTATTAAATTAGATAAACAGTTAAAATTGATCCATAATTGTGACCTTATAGATTGCTGCCATTGAACTACATTTGGACCATCATTCAACCATTGTTGGATTACACCACAAATGGTGCACATAATTTGGACTAAATTATAAACTACGACTGAATCACAATTGGGACAAAATTAGGAACTATTGGACTAGATAAACAGTTACAATTAATCCATAATTGAGACCCTATAGACTTCCACTAAATCACAATTATGTCTAAATAGTTAAAGCACAGTTGTGACTCAATATAATAATGTGATTAAACCCCAATTGATACCAATTCAAAAGCTACGATTCAATCGGAATTATAGTAAATATAGAGCTACGATTTAACCAAAACCGGAGCTCTGAATTATAAACAATTCCTATCAAATCAGGAGGTACAATTAAACCACATCGATACCAATTAAAATCCTGAAATACTTTTTGGTTGAGAACTATAAGCGATCCATATTTAGAACTATATAGAGATCTGTGATTGAATCAATATTGGAACAAAATTAGGAACTACCACCGAATCATAAATGGGACCAATTTAGGAGCTACGAACAAAATTGTTTTGGAATAAATGAAGGATCAATCGTTCTTTAATTAGGACTATATATAAAAAGCTAAGATTCTACTACAGTTGGGCCTTCATTGAATCACAATTATAACATAGTAAAGAGCTTCGGTTGAATCACAATTAGTTCTAAATATACCACAGTTGTGAGCCAATAATAAGCAGTGTTTAAACCACAATTGGTACCAAATGAAGAGTTATAATTCTATCAGAATTATAGTCAACATAGAGCTACAATTGAACCAAAGTTGATATCAAATAAAGAACAGTGATTTAAAACCAATTGGTATCAAATCAAAAGCTACAATTGAACCACATCGATACTAAAGTCCTGAAATACTTTTGGTTGAGAACTATAACCAATCCATATTTAGCACCATATAAATTTCTGTGATTGAATCAATATTGGAACAAAATTAGGAGCTACGATTGATCCTTAATTAGGACTATATAGAATGCTAAGATTCCACTACAGTTGGATCTTCATTGAACCACCACTAGGACACAGTAAAGAGTATCGATTGAACCACACTTAGTTCTAAATAGACCACAGTTGCTGTGATTAAACCATAAGTGGTAGCAAATGAAGAGCTACGATTCCATTAAAATTATAATTTATATATAGCTACGATTGAAAATTGGTACCAAATAGAGAGCAATGATTGAACCATAATTGATATCAAAAAAGAGCTGTGATTTGACAAAATTAGAAGCTACGATTGAAAAACAATTGAACATAAATATTGATCTAGTCCGATAAAATGTTCATAATAATTCATCGATGTGGGAAAACCCCAACAAATTTGATTAATTTTTTTTATAAAAAATATAAGTCTATATGCTTAAATTTCTTTATTTATTGCACCCACCTAATAAACATAAATATGTATATAAATATAAAACACACACACCCACAAATGTATGTGCATTAATTGTATGTATATTTTTATGCAAAAAAGTTTTTCCATATATAACGCTATATGTGACCATTTCTGTTCATTTCTGTGTTTTTGTTTTTGCTGCTGTGTTTGTCATACATATGAATTTTTGTGGTGGCGCTTCTGTTTGTTATTCTCGCCAAGTCAACAACCCCAAAAAATTATAAAGAACTGATTGAATCTACATGCAACACTATATGTGTGTTTTTTTTTTCCACTTTTCCACTGATATTATTCTATAGTGGCAGTTGTATTTATTTAATAATGACATATTTTTTCTCCATATAATTTTGTAGCCTTTTATAAAGTTTGTGTTGTTTTTATGTGAACATTTACAACACTCAGTCTAAAAATGTTACAAATTACAACTCTTGAAGCATTCAAACAAATTAAGGAGAAAAAAATGCTGAAAACAAAAAAACAATATGAATTTTCAATCAGATTTTGTTGCTGATTGTTATTTGTTTGTATGACGGCGTGCGTGCGTGTGTGTGTGTTTACAATAAAAGCCAGACACACAAGGTTTTTTTTGCATTTTGTATTTGGTTTTTAACATTTAAAATCATAAAATAATAAAGTTTGGTGAAAATTTTATTTAAATGTAATAAAATTGGTTATGCATCATTTATATTTAAGGGTTTTAATTGAAATATTAGTGCAATTTTTTATGATTATTATTATTTTATATAAAGTTATTAAATTCTATATTAAATTATATAAAATAGTGGATTAGTTGCGCATTGGTTTTTGTTTTTTTAGGGTTAGTTAAGTATTTAAAAATAACTGAAATTTATAGTTAAAGGTAAAAACAGTTTCGAGGATACAGTTGCTGTTTTGTTGCTGAGGAAGAATTATCCCACAATTAGTGCTAAATAATGACGAATGATTTAACAGCAAATGGGACTAAATTATGTTATATTCGTACCTCAATTGGTACCAAATAAAAAGCTACGGTTGAACCAGTATTAGGTCTTATTAATGAGCTATGTATGACCTACAATTTGAATCTAATAAAGAACTACGATGGAACCACAGCTGGGACTCAATAAAGACCAGTGATTAAACCAAAATTGGTATCAAATCAAGGGCCGCATTCATTCAAAATATCTTACGATTGAATCACAATTGTTACCAAATAAAGAGCAGAGGTTGAACTCAAATTAGTACCAAATAAAGAGGTATGGTGGAAGACAATTAGTACCAAATTGGTACCAAATAAAGAGCAGCGTTTGAACTTCAATTGGTACCAAATAAAGAGCAGTGATTGAAATCCAATTGGTACTAAATAAAGAGGTACGGTGGAAGACAATTAGTACCAAATAAAGAGCTACGATTGAACCACATTGATACCAAATAAAATCTTATATGGTACCAATAAAAAGCTATTACTGAATCACAATTAGTACTGAATAAAAAGTTAAGATGCAACCAGTAAAGTTGGTCCCAGTAAAGAGCAACAATTGAATTATAATTAGTACAAATTAAAGTGCTACGATTGGGAAACAGTAGGCACCAAATAAAGTGCTACGATTGAACATCAATTGGTCTTAATGAAAAGCTACGATTGAATCGTAATTGTTATTCAAACAAAAGTTAAGATTGCATCATAGTTGGTACCAAATAAAGAGGTACGAGAGAACACAATTGGTACCATATAAAGAAGTACGATTGAAGAAGTATGAGCTCCAATCTGTACCAAATAAAATGCTACGATTGCTACCAAATAAAGAACTAAGTACTATTAAACTACTATTAGTACTAAGTTAAGAGTTAAGATTCAGCCACAATTGGTACCAAAGAAAGAACTACAATTGATATCAAAAAAATACTATTGATACCACAATTAGTATTAAATTAAGAGCTGCAATTAAAGCGCAATTGGTGTTCAAACAAGAGCTACGATTGGACCACAATTGAGCCACATTAGGTACCAAATAGATAATTGCGACTAAACCCCAATTGGTACCAAACAAAGAGCTAGAACAGGCGCTTAGAGCTATGATTATTGCAGAAAGTGTTATTCTCAAAAGAATGCTACTTGAAGTTACATTCTGTAGCTAAGTTTGAATTCTGATTTGTACTTCGTTACGGAAATTTTGAATGTAAACTTCCAACAGTCTTCTTCCAAGAATTTTAAATTTATCGGATTTTAAAAACCATTCATTTATATTAAATTGTCTTTCACATAGTTTTGTCTTCTTAACTTACCTGCATCGAACGACGACTCGAACCACTATTCGAACGCGACAACATGGGTGGACGACGTTTCGTAGCGCCACGACCAGCCAATAAATTATTAAGTAACGAAGGTGAACGGGCACAAATGAATGCATGAAACGAGGAAACCGTAAAGACGCCCAATTTATTGAGAGTATTTTTGGTAGGGCGTGAGACATGTGTAAGTAGTGACTAAAAACAGAGAAAAAAAAATCATAAAAATAATTTCATAATATAAATTTAATTACAAAAATACATTTAGTAATGGTCTTTAAAACTTACTTTTGGATTTGGTAATTCGCCACTCTGTAACGAGGCCATATAACAGCGCAAACGAAATTGTTCACAATGCAAACGTTCAAGATTTTCTTCCCATTGAAGTATTTGGCCTTGAATTTGTAGACGTGTATCCTGATCGGTAACCACCGACTGTTGCAATTCGGCCATATGTTTAAGTTTGTGATCCTTTATATACCAAAAATAAAGATATAATTTAATATTAAAAAAAATATATACGAAAAAGACACATAAAATGAAAAGAGGCAAATAAGAAAAGGAAAATCTATTCATATTTTGTTTAAAGCATACAATTCTCACACAAAACTGCTCGTACATACATATATATAAACAGGTGTGTGTGTATAAGTGTAGCATGTGTTTAGTGTTCAAAATGTGTACACTTTTCATTATTTTCAACGCCCATTAGTTGAGATTTTTTTGTTGCAGTTTGTTTTCAAAAAACATTTTTTTTCACCAGTTGTTGCAACAACAGCAACGTATTCATATAGAGAGATTGAAATCCATTCCATTCTATTTTCCCTTGCATTAAACAAAGTATTCTTTCTTTCTTTCTAGATTTTTGTTTGTAAAATATATAACAAAAATATTTGTATGAGTAGTATGCCATCTTTTCATATGTATATTTCTTTATGATGCCACCATTCATGTAGTCGTCGTCGCCAGTGTTTGAAGGTATACAGCGCATAGGCAACAGAAACGGCAACAAAGACGAAAAAGTATCACATGCATTTATGTGCAACAAATGTGACAAATGTTGTTGCTACAGCTGCCATATATAAACAAACATACATAAATGTATATATGATACCCACCATATAAACTACATATCACTATTGCAACATACAAACACTTACAACAGCAACAACATCACTACCACCTTTACAAACTCAACAGTAAGTAAAAGTTTTGTAACTGTTACCGGTTGTTGTTTTTAATACTTAATGTTGTTTCTAAGTATGTTTGTGTATGTGTGAAGAAAATATGTATGTTGCACACTTAGAAAATATTTATAGTTGTTGTCATATACATATGTATGTATGTGTGTGTGTAAGTATTTGTTATTTGCTGCTCTTTTCTTTCTTTCATACGGATTTTTTTTCTCAGAAAAAAGGAAAAATCAAATATAAAGCTGAAAAATAATTAGAGCGTAAAAACCGGAGCATGGTAACACTTACATTGCAATTCGACTAATTCATTTCCAAAAAAAAAAACGAGAGAAAAATACATAAATTTCTAATGCACACATCCAAAGAGATATGTATTACACAAATACCTGGTTTTACAATGTGTAAATTTTTATCTTGAATGACTTTTTATTATTAGAAATTTCAACAAATCTAAACGAAAATATTTACCATGTAGAAAAAGTTGCAAGTGTAATTCATATAAGTGTGTATAAGTAAATTATGTACAAATGCAAACATGTATGTATGTGTATGTATTTGTATGACAAAAAATCAAATTAGACTAACTTTAAGTATGACATATGTACATTTGTATGTAGATTTGTGTGAAATACGTACTAGAAATTGGAATTAGTATGGCTTCAAATTTTGCTCTCAAGAAGAGTACGTTTCCTATAGATAGCATTTTTTCTATACAAAATTTCCTCTTATAAAGAGCAAGCTTTCTATAGATTTTCTATAGAAATTTTGCTTTAATAGAGAGCAACATTTACCATTCCTAAGAGTAAGTTTTCTATAGAAAATTTGCTTTAACAAAGAGCATGTTTTCTATGGAAAATTTGCTCCTGGTAAGAGCATGTTTTCTATAGAAAATTTGCTCCTGGTAAGAGCATGTTTTCTATAGAAAATTTGCTCCTGGTAATAGCATGTTTTCTAGGTAAGAGCTTGTTTTCTATAGAATATTTGCTCTTGGTAAGAGCTTGTTTTCTATAGAAAATTTGCTCTTGGTAAGAGCTTGTTTTCTATAGAAAATTTTCTCTTAGTAAGAGCTTGTTTTCTATAGAAAATTTGCTCCTGGTAAGAGCATGTTTTCCATAGAAAATTTGCTCTTGGTAAGAGCATGTTTTCTATAGAAAATTTGCTCTTAGTAAGAGCATGTTTTCTATAGAAAATTTGCTCTTAGTAAGAGCATGTTTTCTATAGAAAATTTGCTCTTAGTAAGAGCATGTTTTCTATAGAAAATTTGCTCTTAGTAAGATCATGTTTTCTATAGAAAATTTGCTCTTAGTAAGAGCATGTTTTCTATAGAAAATTTGCTCTTAGTAAGAGCATGTTTTCTATAGAAAATTTGCTCTTAGTAAGAGCATGTTTTCTATAGAAAATTTGCTCTTAGTAAGAGCTTGTTTTTTATAGAAAATTTGCTCTTAGTAAGAGCTTGTTTTCTATAGAAAATTTGCTCTTAGTAAGAGCTTGTTTTCTATAGAAAATTTGCTCTTAGTAAGAGCTTGTTTTCTATAGAAAATTTGCTCTTAGTAAGAGCTTGTTTTCTATAGAAAATTTGCTCTTAGTAAGAGCTTGTTTTCTATAGAAAATTTGCTCTTAGTAAGAGCTTGTTTTCTATAGAAAATTTGCTCTTAGTAAGAGCTTGTTTTCTATAGAAAATTTGCTCTTAGTAAGAGCTTGTTTTCTATAGAAAATTTGCTCTTAGTAAGAGCTTGTTTTCTATAGAAAATTTGCTCTTAGTAAGAGCTTGTTTTCTATAGAAAATTTGCTCTTAGTAAGAGCTTGTTTTCTATAGAAAATTTGCTCTTAGTAAGAGCTTGTTTTCTATAGAAAATTTGCTCTTAGTAAGAGCTTGTTTTCATTAGAAAGTTTGCTCCTGGTAGGAGCTTGTTTTCTATAGAAAGTTTGCTCCTGGTAGGAGCTTGTTTTCTATAGAATGTTTGCTCCTGGTAGGAGCTAGTTTTCTATTGAAAGTTTGCTCCAGGTAGGAGCTAGTTTTCTATAGAAAGTTTGCTCCTGGTAAGAGCATGTTTCCTATAGAAAATTTGCTCCTGGTAAGAGCATGTTTTCTTTGCTCTTAGTAAGAGCATATTTCTTTAGAAAGTTTTCTCTTAGCAAGATCATGAAGAGAATTTGTTGAAATTTCTTTGAAAAAGTAAAACCCTAATGATTGTGAAAACATATTTATGCTGCAATAACTTTTTATGTACTTTTACTTATACTACCATAAACTATTCATTAAATAGTTATTTTTTTTGTCAACTATAGACATTGTAAATATCTTATGTTTTCATAATAAACATATCTCATTTGTTTATGTATGTGTGTGTGTATCTGCAGCTGTAAGTATATTATTATGAAAGAGAAATTTCAATGGAATAACACGGTTCATTAGTTTTAATTTGGCTTATAAAAAGTAAATATTGCTATGATAATCGGAATACTAAAGAAATTTGTGTAATAAGATCATATAAACACATACACAAAATTTCCTATAATAATAAATATTTATAGAAGTATTGTATTATGTGTGTGTTCCAAGAATGTTATTGTTTTATTAATGTTAGATTTAATAGTTTAATAATTATTTAGTTTATGCATCGTTAAATAATTACAGTGTGTTAATTTAATATGTAATTAAGTTTTAATGTTAAAATAAATTTATTAAGGTGTTGCTTTAAAAATACATTTAAAAACTTTTTATTTCATTGAATTTAAAGTAGTTTTGAAATTTTTAATCACATAGAGTTTAAATGAAGTTATATTTTGTAAGTTTTATGTGGCGGTGGTACTTTGGAATTGTAAAAAAAATTAACTTTTGTAGTGGTGTTGGAGATGCTCAGACAACGCCAACAAGGAGAAGCAGACAAAGAAAAAGGAATCATAAAAAAATAATAATAAAAAAATTAGTATTGTGTAGTTAGAAACAAAAAAAAAAAAAAAAATAATAAACAATAACAAATAAGAAGTGGATAGAAGATATACATAACTTTACAAAGATAAGAGAGCATTTAAAAACAAGAAGAAAAAAAAGTACATTCACATACGTCACATCAGCTAAAGTATGTGTGTGTAAGTTTATATGGCTACGTATAAGTATTTTATATTTATGTGGTTTTATATCATGATTTTTAGTTGGTTTTGAAATTGTTTTTTTTTTGTCTTTTCTAGCACCCCAACTGCGTTTTTTTTTTTGTTTGAGCACTGACTGACTAACTCCTTGTTCCTATCGCGAGTTGTTTCATTATTATGCTTTTTTTCGCAGTCGTTGTCTTCCATTTTTTTAAAACCCTAGCCATATGCTCTAATGTCCGTCTGTATTTGTATGTTGTGGCTGTTGTTTTATCATTTTGCTTTTCATTCTTTTTTTCTACTTTTTTTTGATTCCACATTCAGTTTTGTCTTTATTGTCTCTTTAGCTAAGAGCAGTCTTAATTACTTCCTATAATGCACTGTTTTGGCGGGAAATCCATTGCGGAAAACAACATAAAACTCTAAAGTCTTCATAGTGGGTTACTTTGTTAAATCTACAGAGTTGTTGGTTTTTTCCATATTTTCACTGCTTCTTTTTTAATATTTTTTTTTTATAATTTTTTTCTCATTTTTTTGGCATTCATGTACTTTTGCTCTGGCTTCAAATGCAGACAAGTTTAATGGGGAAAAAAACAGTTTTGTTATCTGTGATACCAAGTTAAATTTGTTTTGTATTCTTAACTTATTATTGTAATTTTTTTCCCTTCAACTTTTTTCATTTATTTTTTTTCTAATGAAAATTAAAAAAAATTGTTGTTTGTTTAACTGTTGACTTATGTGTAAAGTGGTATAAAGATGGTTAAAAATATTAAATTTATTAAAGCGTTTAAGGTTGGAGTTTGTTTATCAAAGTAATTGTGTGCCGTTGGTTTTAATATGGAGTACGTTGATATATAGAAAGAAGCTTTATAGAATAGTATCTCAATGGTTAGGCAGATTAGTAATCTTTTCATCTTCATAATTATTATGCGAACATAAATATTGCTTTATTAGGCTTTTTATCATTAACAAAATAGTTTTAAATATGTTTACAAGTTTTCTCATTTAAAGTCTTCATTAAACAATGACTTATTAAAACCTCTAATAGAGTATTTGTACTATACCTATGCAGCCTAATAAGTATTTTGATTGCTTTTTCAGCAAGTCCATTTTACTCCTGCAGGACTGTTTGATAATATCACGGAATATTTAAGAGATCATTTTAAAATAGTGCACTTTTTATCC